CGAAGACATGGAAGAATGAGAAAGAAGGAGGGAGAAGCAGGTGGGAAAGAGAAGAACACATGGATGAGAAGGAACAAGAGCCCGTGGATGTAAGACACATAGAATGTTAGAGCCAAAAGTGATGGTAGAAAATATTCAGTTCTTTCAACCCAGTCATTTTACAGATAAGGAAACTGAGGCCATAGTGTGGGTATGATTTCTCCAGTTCACTGCATCCAGCGGGTGTCCCATGCAGGAATTCATCTTGACTCTCAGTCCAAAGCTCCTTTTACTGCAAAAGATTTGCTGTGAGAGGCAAGAAGTAGACAGACCAGATGCAGGAAGAGCTGCTGGAAGCCAGAAAGCTGAGAGAAAACTTCAATCAGAGTGTGAGGGAAAATGAGAAGCTCAGTAAAAGGCGCATGGTAATAAGAGCAGTGGATTTCTCTAGCTGGGAAGTTGAAGTTTCTGTTGGTGGTGAGGGTGATGTCAGATGAGTGTGGGACTGTGTGTAGGTGGAGGGGCTCACACAGGAGGAATTCAAGAGCTTGATGGCGTTTGGGGAAGAAATAAATAAGGCTTGTTAGGAAGAACATAAGCAAGCTTGTGGCCTGAGTACCAATGAATCTATAGAGGAACACGGAGCTCCTGCGACACAGAGAAGAATACTGGATGTCCCTAGGATAGCTAGGATACCTTGTCTGGTTGAGTTCTAATCAGGGTATATCTCATACATCCCAGTTTTCTCCCCTGGGGTTTCCTATGTCTGCCAGCACACAATTATGATTCACCTGTATAGCCATCTCCTTATCTCCCAATTCTTTTCATTTTTTTTAATCCTGGTCCTGGTCACCTCCACATGCCCCCATTTTATCTTTTCTTTTCTTTCTTTTTTTTTTTTGTGAGGAAGATCAGCCCTGAGCTAACATCCATGCTAATCCTCCTCTTTTTGCTGAGGAAGACCAGCTCTGAGCTAACATCTATTGCCAATCCTCCTCCTTTTTTTCCCTCCAAAGCCCCAGTTGATAGTTGTACATCATAGTTGCACGTCCTTCTAGCTGCTGTATGTGGGACACGGCCTCACTATGGCCGGAGAAGCGGTGCCTCGGTGCGCGCCAGGGATCTGAACCCTGGGCCGCCAGTAGCGGAGCGGGCGCAGTTAACCGCTAAGCCACTGGACCGGCCCCATTTTATCTCTTGATCTTTGCTTCCATTTGTGCTCTTTCTCACCTCTCCCAATTCTGAATATCCCTCAGCTCTGAAGAAGCTCCCAAGAAGCCCCTTTCCTTTCTCCTCTTTCAGGCCTTGTCCTTCATCCACCACAGCTGAGTGTACATTCAGGAGGGGGCTGGCTGACAAAGCTTCAGATCCACAGTGGGATCATGACTCAAGTACCAGCTGCTTCCCGCATCCCTGACCGGGATTAACTCTGCCCACAGGAGCTGAGCTGAAGACACTTGGGGTTCTGCTCCACTTGTCTTTGTAATCCTCTTCCTCCTCCCTCTCAGCATCCTCTTCCTCTTCCTCTTGCTTCCCTCCCCCTCCTTCTACTTCCCTACTTCTCCTTCCGACCCCTTCCTCTTCCTCTCCTCCTCTTCCTTTTTCTTCTTTCCTTCTCCTCTTTGATTCCTGCTCCTCATCCTATATCTTTTATGCCTCTTGGTGTCTCTGACCATCTCCCAACACTTTGGTCCTGAAACTCCATTTCTCATTTAGTTAATTCTTCCTTCTCCTTCCTACTCAAATCCAAAATGCCTCCTCCTCACTTCCTCTACCCCACACTCAAGGGTATAAGCACTGGGGGCTACATAATTTTAGAGGTACAGTGAAAAATGAAAATGTGAGGGCTCATACTCAAAAAGTAGAAAAAATGCTTTAAAAGCTACTAAAATATAAAATTTTTCTGTTCTTTTGATGTTTCTTTCAGTCTATCGTGGTGTTTTGTTGTTCTTGTTGTTATTTTTGTTGTTGTTGTTTCTTTGTTTTAATTTGATAATGTTGCTCTCCCTTGGGAACAGTGACTCACAGGGCAGGTGCAGACCCTCTTAGGAGCCAGTGGGCTCCACTCCTATTGTTTTTTGTGTGTGTTTAATAATTTTTGGTCAAAACGCAGACATCTTGTGTGGTACAGTTGATACAGGTAAATTGTATTTTTGAGGAGGATCTGGAAGTGGGCATGCCTTTTCATTTGCTAAGCATTGTTGACGCAAAATAACCAATAACCGTTACACAGATAAGAGAAATAAGGTGAGTTTACTCGAGCCAGAGTGAGGATTATAATCCAGGGGAGGCCTTAGAAAGCATTCCAGAGAATTATGGTTTTCAGTACAGTCTTATATCTTTTTAGAACAAAGAACATACACTAAACACACCCAAGATACATTTTCATCAAAATTTCAAAGAGGTATTCAATTGCAAATTAGCAGGTCAAGGTGACGGTGATGTCAGGAAAGGGACTAATCCTGGCATTACCAATACGGTGTTACTAATAGGGCATAAGATGAGAAGTGTGCATTCTTATATTAAGAGAGTGTAGTGTTTACTTTAATGGTTAAGGAGATGTACAATGTATGATTGGTAGGCCATAAGTCAGGCTTTTTTGCTCAAGCCGAATCAGTGTTGAACCTGAATCGCAACCCCATATACCTCAATATGTGAGAATCTCTTGTCAGCATTGAGCATGGGCTTTGAGTCATACTGGTCAGGAGTTAACTGTTTTGTTTTTGTTTCAACAGTCTTCAAATTTCTCCAGTGTTACATTGTTTGTAAGGTGAGGCTGTTTGCCAGAGTGTTTTCTTTAAAGTCAGCTTCCCTCTCAGGTTTTTGTCTTTCCTTTGTCCTGTGCCTCAAGAGGAATTATCTCCATACTCTTGATCCTCTTTCAGCAGTGATGGCTCTTGTGACTTGGTGTTTGCTAACCTGCTTGGGAGAGGGAGAAGGGGCGTTGTCTTTGCTCTAGTTCAGTCACATTCTTAGGCAGGTGCTTTGTTTTTTAGGATGGGATTGGACCATTAAGAGTACTTGCCTTTGTCTCAGCAGTTGGAACCTCTTACAGTCTAGGACAGGACGTTTTACTGTCCCTTCCTCATTTTCCCCTTCCTCCAGCTTCAAAGCATCTTCACCTGTTTCCTGAAGGCAGCAGGGTTTTCTGCCCTTCCCCCACCAGGTTAAGGCATTTTTCTGTGTGGGAGATAGGGGAGAAAGATCTGGTTGGGACTTCCTGCCTGTCTCATGAAGAAGCTGCTCTCATACCTCTGGGTTGCACCACAGAAAAGGATTTCTCTGGTCTGTATCCTTGACTCCAATCTTTCAGGAGCCCCTGGTGAAGTCTGTGGAATAAGCCTAGAGATATGAATGAATTTCCCGTGTGTGTGACTCTCAGGGGTTCTATATACTCCAGCTAGTTTTTAGTAATTTGTTAACAGTTTCAGCTGAATTATTCTTATTGGTTTGTATAGCATCTGACTTCTGTCTAAAGTCAGCAAAGTTTTGCATCCCCTATTTCCTTGGAGGAGTCTGACTTTCCTTAGATTCTGGGTTAATTGGTTGCCTTGATATTTCAGCTCTCTGATGGATTCAAAAGAAGTTGTCATTTTGATTATCCAGCTTTTTAAAATTGTAAGTATGGGAGTGAAGCAATTCTCAGCTTTCTATGTTCTAATCTTAACTTTCCAAAAAATTATTTTCTTCCTTAAATTAGCCTGAGATAATTTCTGTTTACTTGTAAACCAAGAAATAGCAAAATAAACAGCCTAAACACATTTATCCAGATAACACAAAACACAAACAAATATTTAGGAACCATTTAAGAGTTATAAACACCATGAAAGATAAAGATCAGAACATCCAGCAGAGACCAGCTTATGATAAGACAAGCACGGAACATTCAAGCAGGACCAGTAAGAAGGGAATCTTAGATAAATGATTCTAGAAGACTCTATTAACTTCACTTCCCACAAGTTCTTACTGCTTTTTTTTTTCTTATAAGTAATAGAATTACAGCAGGACCGTCTGTGTAAACTCTATATTTATTGGCATATGCTTTCATCCTAAATAAAACTGAATAAGATTCTAATTTCACCAAGTAGGGTTGAAAGTAACACTGTCTGATGTCTTAAAAAATTTTTATGTTGAAAGTCTTCATAATTTTAAAAAGTAATTGGATGCCTGAACCAAATTCATTCAGTCATTCAAAACTATTCATTGAGTACCTACCACTTGCCGGGCACTCTGTTAGATGTTGCGGATGCAGTACAATAGGGGTATAGATCTAACACCCTCAGCAAACCACTGAATCATGAATCTGAATGGACAAACTTCAGTTAAGTGTCACCATTTTAGAAAATACTGTTTCAAACATGCTGTTTTTGTCTAGACAGTCTATACATTATGTTAAAACTCAGCATATTCAGATTTATAGGTCTTAGTTTAAGTGTTTTTATTCCCAAGTAGACTAAAAGTTCCTTGAATAAAGTGATCATGCTGTCAACCAGGGGATATTCATGAGTGTAGGAAAATGCTTGTATTTAAGTAGGTGCTAAGTGACTGTTTGGTGAGTGAATATATATCAATGCAAGTCATATGAGGGGTGGTTTCTTTATGTGTTTCAGTGTTCCTGTGGTGTCTGTGATGGCTACTCGTTCTTCACTAAGAATAATGGAGAAGTGATGGTAATTTATACTGTTACACAGGACAATCATAGGCATTCTGAAAAAGTAAATAAAGTAAAAAAATGAGAAGTCAGAGAAGTGAATAAGGTGGGTGGGAGGTGAGACAGGGAAAGAGAATATTTAGGGGATATTCAAAAGGACAAGGGAAGGACAGACTGACAGAAAAGAGCAGGGACTTGAGAAGCTTACGTAGGGTGCTGGGAAGCCATTTAGTTCCATGCTTTTATTGGATGAGAGACAAAAAAAAAGCCCTAGAAGTAAAGTGACTTTTCAAGGCCACACAAGACTTGTTCCACAGGAATTGAGTAGGGGAAGATGAAAAGATTGGAAGCTGGTGCAAGGAGAGAAACTGGGAGCCAGAGAGGTGAGTCAGAACTGGAGGTGGAATAAGTCTGAGTAGGCAGTCCAGAGAACTGGAGGGGAAATGAGATTCTGAGAAAGCGGTCCAGGGTTAAGGAAGGAGTAGATTTTCTTTGTTGCAGACAGTGATTAAAGGAAAGGTTTTTCTGCTGGTAGGAGAAGGAAGTCAGAATAGAGGTATTGTGGGATTGGTTTGCTTAGAGCAGAAATCAAAGGCCAACTTTTCCGAGAGCAAGAAATAACATCTGCAAATGAAATGCTGTTCCTGCAACTTCCATTGCTAGAGGTTCTCCTCCCAGGTGGTGACAATAAAGATGGTAAGAACTCTGGCAACTGCCCAGTTGGGTGCAAGAGGGTCTGTGTGTGTGTGTCTATGTGTGTGTGTGTGGTGGGGTTTCCCCAGCATATGCCTGGAGGGTGAGAGTGTCAGCTTCATTCCATTCTGAGTATCCCTGACCAGGTCCCTGTGCTCTTCTGAAGGTTGAAATTAAAGTACAGGGCCCTCGCACAGGCAAGTATCTCCTAAGATAACTATGGGTCCTCTTTCCTTCACATTCTGAGTTTCCGCTCTCTAGTACCTTTTTCTTTTCTGCCTCCTTCTAAATATCTGATTTTGCCCTCATTTTATCTGTTCTTTTACCACAGATTTCCAGGAGCCGGTCTCCTTCCAAATCATCCGGATCTATTCTTTTTACAATCATTCCTGGGTACAAACTCTGGGCTCAGGTTGGTTGGGTGAGTTGCAGACACATGGGTTGGAGAGCAACTCTGGCAGTTACATTTTCCTGTGGCCCTGGTCCAAGGGCAACTTCAGCAATGAGGAGTGGAAGGAACAGGAAAAGTTATGCTTTACGTCCTCCATTCAATTAATCCAGGCATTTCAAAACCATGCCAGTCAATGGCAGCTTGACTGTGAGTTCATTTCCCTCCATGGGGAGTGGGGATTTGGGTGGGAGGTGTGTATGTGTCTCAATGAGTTTCTGATTCCTCTGGGAAACAGCTTCCACTCATTGCTCAACTTTACTTCTCCCCACCATAAATTTGGAATTATACACTTGGGCACGGGGTGTAATCCAGACTCTGATTCTTTAAAACCTTCAAGGCTTCTGCTGCTTACAAACTCTTCTCACCTTGACTGTGAAGTTTGTGCCTTATTGTCTTCCATTAGTGGTCTCCCGTGAGCACCCCCTTCCCTGAACTCCAGCCAGAAACCCTCCGATTCCTCACTCTTTCTTCGACTCATTAAGTGTAATTTTATCCCCCCTTCCATCTCTTCAGAAATTTCTGTTGATACATTCATTGTAACCTATTGCATTCCTTTCATCCTAGATTATTATAATGTCAACTCTCTCACACTCAGTCCTACCTTATTCTCTTGCCCACACCATTCATGTTGCCTTCTTTGAACAATTTGCCCCCTTCCTCATGTCATTCATCTCTTCCTCACTCTCCAACTACCACCAATTCCTCTTTTTCTGAACGTCTGCTGAAACCAAACTTTGCTCCTTTCCTTCAAATCTCCTAAACTTCTCCCTTCTGCTTCTATCATCTTTTGCTTCCATGATTTCATTTTTTTACTTCCTCTTTCAACTCAATCCCTCTTCCCCAGATCCCTTTGAGTTACAGACGGCAGCAGGTTGTGAGCTGCACTTTGGGGGAGCCTCAGTAGGCTTCATGCACATTGCTTATCAAGGATCAGATTTCATGAGCTTCCAGAACAATTCATGGTTGCCATCTCCAAAGGGTGGAAGTAGGGCTCAGCATGTCTGCAGCCTATTCAATTTGAATCAAGTTGGCCTGGAAAGAGCAGACAGGCTCGTCAGTGACATCTGTCCACGTCTCCTTCTGGGACTTCTTGATGCGGGAAAGGCAGATCTCCAGAGACAAGGTCAGTCCTGCTCCCTTCCTCCAAGGCTTTTCTATTCTAAAATCACACCTTTCCATCAACCCCTCTTTATGAAGGATCCAGTAGGGAGAGGGAATAATGGATGACAGATTCCTAGAGGTGGGAAAGATGTGTCTATCTAAATTGACGTGAAGATCTGAACATTTAAATCTGTGTTAGAGTCTTCATCTGAACATCTTTCCTGTTCTCTGCAGTAAAGCCAGAGGCCTGGCTGTCCACTGGCCCCAGTCCTGGTCCTGGCCATCTGATGCTGGTTTGTCATGTCTCTGGCTTCCACCCAAAGCCTATTTGGGTGATGTGGATGCGGGGTGAGCAGGAGTATATGGGCACTCAGCGAAGTGACATCTTGCCCAATGCTGATGGGACATGGTATCTTTGGAAGTCCTTGGATGTCGAGGCCACTGAGGCAGCTGGCCTGTCTTGCCGTGTGAGACACAGCAGTCTAGGAGGCCAGGACATCATCCTCTACTGGAGTAAGAAAGAACCGGTGCCTGAGCCAGGAATGGGAGTAGGTGGTCCTCAAGCAGAGCAGGAGGGCCAGATGGAAAATTTGGGATCTAGGGACTTCAGACCCAAAAGAATTAAAAGTAAGTATTCCAAGAAATAGAAAAGTGTAAAATGAGGGACGTGCAGTTATAGGGGGATGTTGAAGGTTAGATGAAGGATTCGTCTCTGAAAAGGGATGAGAGAAGAAATAGGAAGAGAGGAAACTGGTGAGATAGACACTCAAGTGAACAAAGGAAGACCAGGGAAATGCAGTAAAATGCCATAGATTTGAAATGACACCCTCGTGTGCACCCAAATCCACAGGACATCACAATTCCATGGTCTTGATCTTCTTGGCAGTGATAGTGCCCCTGGTGCTTCTGACAGGTCTCGCATTTTCGCTTTGGAAGCGCTGGTGAGTTCTTTGTATCCATCCTTCCCTCTCTTTGCCCCACTCCCCACTTGTCTTCCCATCTTTTTTGTTTACTCTTTCCTCATTTCTTCTCCTCCCAGTTCCCTTCCTTCTTACTCTTCACTTTTTGCCTCTACCTCCTGCACAGTGACTTCCATATCTGTTGTTGTCAGGACACCCTGTAAGCCTCCAAGCACTCTTCTCCCTTTGGAATGAGAACACAGCAGTCCAGGGTTGCAGGATGTATGTAAACCTAACACGGGGATGACATCCATTCAATTCTTCCTGTACAATATTTTTTATTGTTTTTTATTTCTGCTTAATGAACAGTTGTCAATATAAGCCAAATGTAATTTTCCAGGATTTGTTGTTCTGACCTGGGCTCTGGGACTTTAGAAATCAAATTTTAACTCTGAATAGAATAAATTCCTGACAACCTCCACATATTCAAATATTAATTAATCTTCAGATGCATTTCAGATGTCACTTCCTTAAGAACGCCTTCCCTCATTTACAAGTGGAAGAGTCTCTGCCTTGTCTGAACTCCTAGCGGATTTGAACTGTACTTTGCCAAATCCACCCCTCAATTCCTGCTCGTTATTACAGCTGTTTGGATCTCTTTTCCCTTTATAATTTTAAGCTTTCAGAGAGCAAAATCCATGTCATTTCGGTATTTGTACCCTTGGCTAAGTGTCCTACCTCGTGTAATATATTCTCAATAAAAATCTGTGTTGAATGTATGCCAAATTTGTAGTCTTTTCTTATTCTTTTCCTTCCTGACATGTTTGTAGTAGTTGAGACATTTGATGGTCTTCTCACTTGGTCGTGAGACTCACACTTTCCTAGTTCCTTGGTGACTTCTCTGACAGCCTGAGGAGAAATAGAATGTTGCCTCTGATCATTCTTATTATTTAACTATAGAGACCTGTTGGAGTGAAACTATTGCTCTCAGTATCCTAAACAAAAATGGCATGCACAATATAGGCCTTTGATCTTCAGTGTGGTTCTGGGACACGCAGCAGAGTTATCACCTTGGAGCTTGTTAGAAATGTAGAATCCTTGTCTCAGACTCACTGAATCATAGTTTGCATTCATCAAAATCAGCAGATGATTCACAGGTGCATTAAAATATGAGAAGCAGTGATATAGGCGATGCCTTAATGGTAGCAGTACAAGTGCATCACTGAGGAGAAAAGAAGATGGTCAAGAAAGGAGAACAAGAGTGTTGATCCTCAGGACTGAAGTGAGATCAAGGCAAGGAGAGTACATACAGCACATTCTTGCTATTCATGGCTGTTGTGGTAAAGTCACTGTGAACACTGAGTTAGTAAATATTGAGCCATCACTCCCATGAGAAATACAGGGTTAGGTATTTGTGAGACTCTGATCGGAACATTTGTGTCAACTGAGGAATACATAGCCTTGTTTTATGTGTATTTCTATTTAAAGACACCTTATTTAATATATACATTTCCAAATAATATATTTATAATATGCAGTATTCCTTTATAATAAAACACCAAGCATTGTTTAACATTTTCCCCACCCTGGGTAATGTGATGGTAAATTTCTTGGGCCCTCAGGAACACAGCTGTGCTGTTCACTATGTTTTTAAAAACAAACAAATAAAAAGCAGTTGTCGTCTCGTGAATCCACAAATCTAGCTCCTTTCCCATCTTTCCAGAGCTACATCAGAGCGTTATAGATATTACTTTACCACTCTGGAGTGGCTCCACGTACCGATCAGTGAATTTTCTCTTCCTTATTCTTCATTTACTGCACTGTTGATTCATTAACACTGAACTCATGGTCCACAACACTATAACTCATGCTTGAACAAAGCTTATCTACATGTGCCTCTTCTCCAAGGGGCATATCACAGCCTTCTCGTGCTTAGGAACACTAGATAGCACTTTAGAACTATGCTTTAGGGCCGTTTAAACAGGAAAATCAGCAACCACAAGCACAAAAGTGCACAAAGCGTGGCACTAAATAGACCATGACAAGGACACTTGATTACAGTGTGAGAACTGAAACAAAGAAGCAGAGCGCCACCTCTTGGGACCTCAGCTAGAAACCTGTGAGAAGCGTGACAAATTTTCCATCACTCTACACATGTCCATGAATGACTGTGAAAGTATTGTGAGTAATTAGTTGGGGGTTACAAATAAATTTTAGCAGGCAGGCAAATTAGCAAATACAGAATTCATGAATAGTGAAGATCAACTCTATCTGCATAACGACCACAAATGACAGTGTGAGTCAAGATATCTATAGCTAAACTTCAATTACTTTAGGATTCATTAATTATTTCAACAACTAATTCTTAAGCACTTACCATGCAGCAGGGACATGTTAGGTATAAAGCAGTGGGGAGGAGAAAGATCATCACTATCTTACGAGCTTGAAAATTTTGCCTTCCTAATTTGATTCTACAGTTTACTGTTTTCATTGTTTATTGTTTCTTTCTTAGTATGGCAACTTATTTAGGTTAAACTAGGGGAAAGGGACTTAACTCTAATTCATTTATGGGGCTGAAAGAGGATGCCTAGGGCAAGGAGAACATCCAGAGGGACCAAGTGTAGTTGGCAGCAGCTGCACATGTGGAAATTTTGAGAAAATAAAATTGAGATGCGAGGTGGGGAATGGTGAACAATATGAGATGGGAGAGAGCAAACAGTGGGACTGCTGTAATCTTTCTACCTTATTAGACTGGTTGGTTGCTTCTCTAGGGTCCAATCTACCTGGTCACCCTTGCATAGCAACCATGTGATTTTTGTTTGATTGACTCCATCCTCATCTGTAGACCTGGACTCTGATCAGCCTAAGGCAGTCATGAGAAAGCATCCTTGACAATGTGATAGGCTAAAGGATGAACAGGTAACCAATCATTTAAGTCAAATCATGATATAGATCCCACTTATCCTTGCATAGAGTGATTGTTCAGGGCTATGTACCTGTTCTCAGGTGACAGTTTATGTGAAGCCTGGTTCTTGTGTTTGAGTGTAGGGGAAAGAGATGCTATCTTGTCCTGAATGTTGTGGTATGGGGATAAAGGTTGAAACAACTAAAGCCATTTTTTCAGCTTCAGAGAAGCAGACCTGAGGATGAAATCATACATGCAAGAAGACAGAGAAATTTTATACTTGAAATTTGATAAGAGAGTAGATCTTAAGTGTTCTTACCATAAAAGAGAAGAAGGAAAAGAAAAGAAAATGGTGACTATATGAGGTGATAGATATGTTAACTAGCTTGTTTGTGTGATTATTTCACAACATATACATATATCAAAACATCAAATTGTACACTTTAAATATATACAACTTTCATTTATCAATTATAACTCTGTGATCCTGAAAATAATAAAACATTAAAAAAAAGAAGGCAGACGACAGACCCACAGAAGAGTCCAGATTAAACTGCAGCTAAAGCCTGAATGACTCTCCATTCTCAGTTACGTCAGTCAATAAATTCTGTTTATTGTTTGAGCCCAACAAGTTGGATTTTCTCTCGTTTGTGACTGAATGCATCCTGCCTGATGTACATGAACCTCAGGGAACTCTTGGCTAATTTTACTCTTACTTACAACATTTCTCTTCACTTCCCTCTTCCTTTTCCTCTATTCTTTAAAATTGGTTTCTTGCCCTTCTCCTTTATTCCTACAGATGTCCTTATCTTGTTAAACCCTTACAATGTCTTGCTTTTTAACTATTATTTCATCATGGGCAGGAGTAAGAGATTAGGAGGAATTTTAAGAAGAATAAAGGAAAAACCAATCTATATCACATATCATGAAAATTAGTATTAGCAATTTTTGCTTTGAAATTCATTTTCTGTGTGATGCTAGTTTGAGGCTAGAAACATTCATTGGTGAATTTGATAATATGTTCATGGTTTATTAAATGCTTGTACTACATTGTCTTTGCATCTTTATGAAAACCCTGAGAGTATATATTTTTGCCTCCACTTAACTAAAGAAAACAATGAAGGTCAGGGAGCCTCTCCAAAGTCACTCACTCACCCAGCAGCAGAACCAGCACTTTGATTTCTCACCAGTGGTTTGTTAGAAACATATGAAGAGTCCAGGAGAGAGACTGATTTAGATGTCATAATTAAAAAAACATGGTGAATTTGATAATTGACGTGGTCTATAACTTTCAGAAATCATTTATTTATGCTTTTTTCAATTTTCTGTGGTGACTTGTAAATTCAGTTCCTCAGTATTTAAAATTGGAAGCAGACACGGACTATGAACCAAGTGCGTATCTGCACTCACACATTTGTGCTTTCTGCTTTTGTTTAATTTTAATTATTCTGAGATTTTTAAACAGCAGTCTCTGAGGATTAATTTTTGCAATCTTATTACCACGAATTTTCTTTACACAGGTGAGCACATATGCTCTTTTTCTGGTTTATAGATGATTCTAAAATGACACATATAGGGAAGTTTATAGCTTTAAAAGCATTTATTTGTAAACAAGGCAGCCTAAAAACATATGAACTAAGATTTTAATTGAGGAAGCTAGAAAAATAACAAAAAATAAATAAGAATTTAGAAAGTAGAAAATTCATTTAAGAGTAGTAAAATTTAAAATAAAAAGCAAAACAAAGAATTGATAAAGGTGACTGACAACACTAACAGCTGGCTTTTGGAGAAAATTTATAAAAATATAAAAACCTCTCACAGAACTGATTAAAAGAGTAATAAATATTAGAAAAGTAGACATATTACAAATGAGTAATATACAGATTAATATAAGAAAATGCTACATATAATTTATATCAATACATTTGTTATAGATAAAATTTTATTTAAAAAATCATAGAAGGGGGAGAAAACCAGAATATATGAGTAATTGTGAAGAAAATGGACAAGTAGTCAAAGTTGCTACTCGTTGCACAAGGTCCCAGCTCGAGGCTACATGGAGAAGCAGATGACCATATTCCATCTACATTGCTCCAGGTAGATAAAAAGATGGAAAACAATCCCAACTATCTTTATGAGGCAAAATTTTCATGACACTCAAGTCAGCAAGAATTCCTCAAGAGAAAAACAAAACAAACATTAAAATAATACTTATAAGCTAATCTCACTTATGTATATTTACTCAGAAACTATGTATATCAAATCCAATAAAATATCTGCAAATAAAAATCAGCACCAAACG